CAAACTGAACACTTAAATTTATCATAACACAGTATAAAGAACTTTTTAATACTCTTTTTTGGTCCAATATTATGCATTTATGATTATTCAAACACTTGGACTCAAACTGAACCCTTATCATGATGATAACACCATATAATAAACTTTTTAATACTCTCTTTTGGTCCAACATCATGCATTTATGCTTATTTAGACGCTTAAACCCCAACTGAACACTTAAATTTATCATAACACAGTATAAAGAACTTTGCTCTTGTTCTGGTGTAAATACTGTTGAACGACCCATTTGTGGTCCAGTCTTGACTCCATTTTTCATTCGTTCACGAAGAGTACTAAATGGGATGCCAGAAGTTTCCACAGCCTTGCGAATTGACATACCACCTTCAATTTTTTGTATCGCTGCAGTTAAATCCTCCTGTGTCCATTTCCCTTTTTTTTCAATGCCTCTGGTTTTTTTTACGTGACATCCTGGAAACATCAATCTAAATACAACCGTGGAAATCACTCACATAACCTCACTTTGAATTAGTTTGATTCCATAAATTTTATGATATATCACAACCATTGTCACACTAAAATCATTCTCTAAAAGTGCCTACAATTATTGTTGGACCCATTTACAACAAAAAAATAAATTATTATGTCTCACTTACTCGATTCTGTCCAGCTACCGGCCTTCGTGTTGACGACCTGTCAAATACTGATTGTGAGCGGTATTGGCCTCGACGCGAGCGATATTACCCGCGGCACCCAATCGGTACAGCCCGTTTCGTCCGGATTTAACCAAATTATTAATATCTTTACGTATAATGAGAGCAGAGAAATTATACTGGTCGTAAATTGTGCGAAAAAGTATGAGAAATAGAATGATTATAGTTTGTTATGGCAGTGATAATTTTGAGATGACGAAAAACCTTATTTAGTGGCCCAACAATTCTACACTGTAAGGACCCCAGAACAGAGAGATGTCATATTTGATATTTTGGTGATAAAAAAAAACAATTTCCATTGAAATTAGCTGTTGACATTAAATCCTTAGCATTGATAAAAGAAAATGATCGAAAAAGTCCGTAATTATTAATAAAAACGGGTGAGCGGTATTGCCCGCTGAGCGGTACAACCCCACTCTCCGCTAGATACTGCCTATTTGGAGAGTGAGATGAGAGCAAAGATTTTCATGTTCATTGAAACGGAGATCATCTCTCCAAAGTTTTGTCTCGTGAAATGTCTCGCGGCATCACTATCTCTCAATAGATGATTTTAATTTCTTGGTGAGTATGTTTTTGACCGCGAAAAAAGTAATTCATGGAAGCAATATGTGATTGGGTGAATAATTAAAATGTTGATGATTTGTTGACCATGGTGATTAATAATCGATTTTTCGGATGTTAGCTGAAGTGTTTGAATGTTGATAGCTTTGCTGTCAATAATTTGAGTGGACCGTTCGGTTCTACATTGAAACCCTCAACAAGACAATGTTTCTTTATTCACATTTCTGCAAGAAATTAACATTTCAGTCGATTCAGAAATTAAAAAATTCTAACAAAATATATGCAAAACATGAGTGAAAAACCTTGAAATACCTACAATGAACAGAATTTATCAGTTAATAAACTGGTTATATAGCCAAAATGAAGGCCATCATTAAGGAGTAATAGAAAGTCACCGTTTCCTCGAAATTTTCAACCAAATTTCCTACTCGAAGGGATTTATATTTTTCGAACCCAAAGCACATTGATCTTCATTTTCAAATCCTGATGGAGATTAACGTGCTTCGATTTGTAAGAATATCGATAACTATCGGCAGAAAATTTGTTCAAAAATTTGGAAAATTAGCACCACACGGAGAGGAATTTTTTCGAAAAATTCTAGTGCTGGCACGGGAAAAGAGGCGCAAAGTGACGGCCAGGAAAAAATTCCAGTGCCGGCACTAGAAATTTTATTGATGAAAACGTGAATTTTTCCCCGTATTTCTGTGAAAATTTCACAGAAATTCCGAGAAATTTTACCAGAAATACCAAGAAATTTTACCTTGACAGCACTAGAATTTTTCACAGCCAGTGGATTGTGATTATTTTCAGTACTCGTACTAGAATTTTTCTAGAAAATTTCTCTCCGTGCATTCTATGCTGCTAATGTGCGTACGAATAGTGAATTTTTCTCCGCTGACTCGGGAAAATGTACTAAACGTGAGGGTACTTTGTGCCGAAACTGTAAAATTAACCAATCCCATCAAAAATTATTCCACGAATGTGAATAATTGCTCGATATTCCGTAATCATTCACATATGTGTATTGTAAAATTTCACTTTCCTCTGTCCTTCACATGGCAAAAAATACCCTACCTGGGTAGGAATTTTTTGCAATGTGTTTTCTACCTGTAAACACCCACACACGAGCATGGATGCACAGACAGCCATACACTCATACTACCACTGACATCACGACACATCAAGGGACGAAGGTGCTGTTTGGGCCTCACCCCCACCCTCTACACAAGAACGACTGGACTGACCTGAAGGACGGTTACTATACAGAGGGATGCCGTGTCATTCGTCCGGGAGACATAGACGACAATATCCATTCGTCATTGACGTATGCAAAAATTGAATAGAAAAACTTACCGAATTCACTAAAAAATTCTATTGGAATTTTCTAGAAATTCTATTGGGATTCTATTAAAAATCTGGGGAATTCTCGTTAAAATCTATTTGTTTTTGCACTGATTCTATGAGATATTTGGTGGGAAAAGGTCAATAGATTTCGATATTTCTATATGAATATTCTCTTCGAAATTTTTCTGTAAGAATACATGGGTATGGATTTTCCAAGTTTTTTTCACTCGGATCCTGCAATGCAAAACAAAACAAAATATATACCGGAAAAAACTTAGAAAATCCGTGCGCAATAGTTTTAATTGAAAAAAACACAAGATAAAAATTCAAACAGAAAAATCGAAATGTATTGAATTTTTCCTATCAAATATCTAATAGAAACCGCAAAAATCAAATAGAATTCTAACGAGAATTCTCTAGAATTTTAATAAAATCCTCGTCAAATTTCTAGAGAATTCCAATAGAATTTTTTAGCGAATTCGCTCAGGTTTTCTGTTGAATTTTTTCATGCACGTTCTGACATTATTATTATTACTGCATTGAGTCACGGAAATATATGGACATTTGTTAAACTGCAATCGGTGTTTTTAGAGTTTCTTACATACCGAATGATTTTTCGCGCCACGATTACTTTTTATGTAGTGAAATTTTCCGAAACTTCACTTCCATAATTTTTGCATCCATAGATGTTTTTTTTACCAAACGAATCGGAAAATATCCTCCACAAACAGGTATTTTTTCATTGAATTACACGGAGAGAAATATTCAGTAAAAATTACGGAACTCACAATTCACTCACCGATTACGGAATCGACTCAGAAAATTTAAGTGACGGTATCGTATTTTTTCACAGGAGATTCAGTTAAACATTACGGAACGCTCCGCAAAAATTCAGGAACAGTTCCGTAAAATCTCCTACCACCACATTTCGCTCCGGAATTGCGGAAAAGATACGTAATTTTTATTGAATATTTCTCTCCGTGTACAATTCGCTCCTCAATTTCTTTTCGTACAGTAAAATTGACCACGATTTTTTAGCTAATTTTATCCAACTTTTCTCTCGGTGTAGAATCTTAAGAAAAGATATTAAAATCAATTTCATTGCAGTGAAGTTCAACCTCTTATAACAAAATTACACTTAAAACTTATCCATTCGGAAGGAAAAATAGGTGGCCATGAACTCTCTGATCTAATTAGATATGACCTCCCGTAATAACAATTGATCCAAACCAATGCGTAAATCCTCTCAATTTCCACCCTGCAATCGCATATTCAACCCGCATAATCCTCCTCTCTTCCCAGTACCTTGTCTCAAAGCAAATCCACCCCTGCCGCACAACAATTCCTAGCTCTCAGACCTCCAGTCGACTAGGTCTTCTTTATTTATCCCGCTATTTTGCTAACTTTACCACCGCATACGATCCCCCAACGTATCACAAACCCTCACAAATTTTTGTCTCACTTACTCCCGCACTATCTATTTTTCCCTCTCCTCTGGAAACCTGTCCTCGCTATTCGCACAGATATCCCACTACCCCGAAAAAGAGGGAACGTTGAAAATGATGGGGTTTTGTGGGGGTAAACACACGAGAAAGTGCAATGGTGGGGGTTGTGGATGCTGGTAAATGCCCGCCCCCTCCGTTAAACGGAGACCGCCTACCAGTCGACGCAGAGAGAAAATTCACCAAATCAATTCGACTAGTTCTACCTAGTACCCAGTGGTCTTGACATCATCACTACAGATTTGTGGAAAATTGGTGGCTAAATAAATACCAGGTGATTTTTTTTCTCCTAATTCCGCGTAATACCGTTTTTTTAATTTGTGAAAGTGAGTGAGATTCTTCTAACGATTATTGTTAACGCAGCAAAATCGTGTTATTTACCTCGCAATCGTAAAAAATTGAACCTAATGGATGTGATAAAAACAAAATAAATAATCGAATCCAAATGACCTTCGATAATGTGAAATTTAAATGGCAGGATGTAACGTACTTACCTGCATCAGCTGCTGATGACAGCGGGAACTTTCTGATGCATCTAATGACTTTATCAGTATCCCTGTAAGATACCTAAACCTAATAATTCAATGTTACTTAGAAGTGTTGTGAATAACTTTAATGGCTTTACTCATGGATAATATAAACCGAGGAGAATAAAAAAATCATACCGTTATCATTGAGAACACAAACTATTAGCGTAGGAGATAACGCTGATGACACAGTTTGCACTAGTGCAATGGAAATCAGTTGGAAATGATGTTGGCTTTCGCATAGGGCGATTGATCGTCAGTGGATAGTACGAAAACTTTGAATTAACACTCCTGAATTTTACCAAATTCAATGGATAATCGACGAGTGAATTGATTGATCCAAAAAACTCAAGTGACGATTGACAACGGACATGGAATCCATCATGATGTCGAACATTTCTTGCGACGGTTGCATTGACAGTGATCGTGACTCCGACTCTAACAGTATGATTGTGGATCCAGTGAGTCTTGATCAGAAAGCCTTGTCACCCCGTCCAGTAGGTAATATGAATGTAACCTCACATCTAATAGCATCAGCAACAACAGCTGTTCGCAATCGTAACAATAGAAACATCAAGAAGACGTATTCGATGATGTCGTCCAATCAGAAGATGGGGCAGTCGTCATCGTATCCTTCTGAAAAAGTTAGCTCCTCTCAAATAAAACCACCGTATTCTTACATCGCATTGATAACGATGGCGATTCTTCAATCACCTCAGAAGAAGCTCACATTGAGCGGTATCTGTGAATTCATAATGGCGAGATTTCCATATTACCATGAAAAATTTCCCGCCTGGCAGAACTCAATCAGACACAATCTCTCCCTGAACGACTGTTTTATAAAGATACCGAGGGAGCCGGGTAATCCGGGCAAGGGTAACTACTGGACACTGGATCCTCTTGCTGAAGACATGTTCGATAATGGAAGCTTCTTGCGTCGGAGGAAGCGATACAAAAGGCCGCCACCGCACTATGTCCTTCGAGATCGTGCTATCATGGCGACGTTTGCCATATGTGGCGACAGATCCGGATGTCCTGGAGGCAATCATCCTGGTAGTTTAGGGTATCCTGCGACTTACCTGACCCCTCCACCACGACTTCCACTTTTGGATTTTCCACCGTCGGCCTTGGAGGCACTCAAGTTGGGCGGTTTTCTCGAACCGCCACCACCACTCTACAAGCCGGTACCGATCTCAGCGCCACCGCCGCAGATTCGGCATCTAGTTGGCAGTCCGCCATTGCATCAGTCATCGTCATCGCCAATGTCGGCGGTTGTTCCGATGTCAGCGGTGCATTCTGGGCGGCATGCCATCACGGGGAGTCCTGGGGTTGCGGAGAAGAGAGCTAGTTTTAGCATTGATGCACTCATTGGGAAACAAGCGGCAACGGAACAGGTGATCGGGGGACTACTGGATCTCAGTCCGCCGGAGCATCGGGAAATCAGGAGCCAAGCGTCGGCATTTTCACCGCTTGTTTAATGAGTTTTCGTTGAGTGTGGATTTTTCAATTTCGAGATATGGTTTTTATTTGTAGTGGATTATTATTTTTTCGTTGCGGACTGGAGAGATCTCTAGATAATAATAAATGCCCTGTAAATATGCGGATCCGTGGTCTTATGGTTATAAAGCACATGATCATGATTGGAATTTTGACATTTGGTTGTTGTCAATCTTTTTCTGAATTGGGATATACGCGAAAAGAATCATTATTGAAAAGTATTGCACTTTAACACTATTCGAATAAATAATCTTGTAAATATTGATCGGGTTTAGATGGAACAGGAGTCACCCATTCATTTAAAATGAATGACGATGCAATTGTGGTTACAAAATTATCAGTGAATAGGTCATATTCATTCCAAGTTTTGGTTGTAATGTATATATGCAATAAGGACAAAATGTAAATCATCCATTTCTTGAAGCCATAAAAACTATCTCTCATGAGAACTGGTTTATCACTGATACCTTAAGTGTAAGTATGACTTAGAATCTGTTATTTATTTTCTAGATACAAAGAATGTGAATCTAGGGTCGAGATGTTTACTTTCTTGAAGAACAAAACCAACAAATTATATTATTGGTCACTATAAACATGCCGTGCATTTCAGAGAGCAAATAACTTATCTGTATTGAGTAAGATAAAACAGTATTGAGTATGAATTTCTAAGAAGAAAAGGAATATTCAAGTATTTCTTCTCTTTGTCTAGTTGTGATGAGAATTACCAGAAACAGAAAAATGTAAAATACCGCGGAGACAACTGTTCAAAAATAACGATTTTTTGACACGTGCAATAATTTAAAAAAATATTAGCAGAATTTATGAAGTTGACATGCGCTCGAACGAGAAAAAAATTTGCGTACAACAAACTAAATCTCGAAAAACCACTGTTGACAAGTGGATGCATGACACTTTTTTGCGATAAGATGAAACAACAACCGCGCAACTAATGTACCGACGATTACATATAGACTTGAATGTGTAGTCTGAGTGAGTGACATTGTCTTCAATTTTATGATCCGTCGCGAGACTCAACTATGAGTTTTTTCTCGAAATAGTTTATATTATAAATAATAAGAGATTTGTGTCAACAAAAACCCAAAATCATAGATTTATTAATTAAAAGGTATGATAATAAAATGTATACTGAACTGTATTCACCTTCATCATTATTCCTAACACCTGATGAAATTATAATTTTCTCCAAAAAATTCATTTTAGTCTTTTCATTAACAATGGCTCTAGGAAATTCCATTTCTCCAAAGCCATGTGAGAAAAATGTTATATGAAACAATTTTCACACCGAAATGTAATTACAATCATAGAGATGTAGTCATGAAAAATAGTTGCAGAAAAATCAGAAAAGGCAAAAGATAACGAATAAACAAAGGAGATGTTGAAAGTAGCGGTGGCGCGTGAACTAATAACGTGTTAGCAGGCAAAATATGCCCGCTGGGAGAGGATACCACTACAGCTATGAGAGATAGATACACTGGAGGAGGACTAAAAGAAGAAGTGGCATACCGTGTAGTCACGAAGATCAGCAGAGCCCGGCGAATGTTGAAGGAGTGGGAGTGGGAGGATGAAAAGGAGGTTGAGTAGGGGGGCCGGTTGGATGAGAATGAGTGGATTTTCATTGCGCTTTAATCCCTCGACGGGGATGCGGAGGCAACTCTTGTCGCATGGGGTGACAATATTGCATTCCTTGATCGTGATGGAGATAACAGCTGCTCTTCTTCACCCTTGATCATTCAGTATCACACTGAACGTGTGCATAATCTTTTTTATTGCCTCTTGTTGGGGGCATTGGTAATTATTGATTATTGTAATTGGTCGGAAGCACTGTTAGAATTTTTTGACAATTCATGAAAAATATGATAGTAACAACAACTATTTGTACAGAAGAATACGGTAATGACAATTAGGGAGGCATAACTCACTCCCAATAACATCATCCCACAGTCATGATTACAACAATAGCTCTCTACTTCCTTAACCATGACTACATCCCTCAAATTGTTTAACTCTCATTTCATCCATTATAATGTAAAACAACTTATCTGTCCTATTCAACCATGCAATACTATCAGCTATCTGAAATAATTATCTATCTACTCTTGTTTTTTTTCTGTGTTCTATAATCATAACATTGTATATCATATGTAAATACCAGGCTGAAGGCCCTTGGGCGATGACCAGTCACAAGCTTCTTGTGACAAATAAAAAATAAAAATATGATAGTAATTCTCATGAGAATGACCTTGAATCGGATTTAGGTGCAAAATGGTTATGAAATTTCTAGTTTAAGGTAAAACCCAAGGTAATTCATGAGTTTTCAGTGGGAGTGAAGTGTAAATTTCATAACTTGATTGAATTTTCAATGGAACATGAATATTTACAAACAAAATGACATGAATTTTCAATTTTTCCCTGAATTTTTCGGATTTTTTGGAATTTTCACGGAATAATTCAACTGGGAAATCAATTGAATATTTTATTGATTTTCAGATCATTTGAACCGAAAATTAATGGAATATTTGATTTTACAATGACAATATTTCCTGAAATTTCAGTGGAAATTAAACACGATACAAATTTCCAGGATTTGGCACGGAAAATTCTGACGAAAATTTTTACCAGTGAGCAATATTTTATATATTTCAGACGTATGCAATACATGGATTTTGATATGTAAAAAATGTTCGACCCATCCTCATTAAAACGGCGGCTGTCGAATAGATTCGGAGATTTTCGACAATTGTTTGTCGTCCTTTCAACGGGGAATCACTTATTTACACTTGATATCGAACAATGCGCTGCTACAAAGTAAATGTATCATTCAAGCAAGAAATGATGAGGAAGTACACATACATAAACGATAGGCCCGACGAGCTTATAACCGTGGTGACAATACAAACCGAAACAAACACTCACCGGCACGTGGCATGGTCACGTGCCACGAGACCAAAGGGATATATTACATTCCGTGTGCACACACACTTGACGGGGTGATTTTGAGAAAAAAGAAAAGGAAAGGGGAATTAAGAGCTAATGTGAACACTGGTAGCGTGAAATGAGGAATTGATATGGGTCGATGCTGATCGGGCAAGGCTAATGATGTCATCGAAAATGTTTTTTTTGTGGATGAGGCGTCCATTTAGATATCTGCATGTTGATCTTTGTCAAGATGATGATGTCGTATTGGTTAAGAACATCAGGCCATATCAAGTGAGAGGCTGTATGTAACCCTTTGAGCTTGCACAAGGCTTCGAGTAGGTGTCTTATGATCAAAGTGGACAGAATTTTCGAGTACCCAAAGAAAAAACAACCTTTATTCTGAGACTTGTGATATCAAATGAAGACTTTTGAAAGTGTCAATTTGAAACATTTGAAAATGTCAATTGGAAACTTTCAAAAGTTTCACGTTGAGACTTTTGATAGTTTCAAGTTGAGACTTTTCGAAGTCTTAAATCCATAGATTGGCATCAATCATTACTTTAGTAATATTATGAGAATTTGCACCTTACAATAATGAAGTTTTTACTTATCGTCATTGAAATTTCAAAATTAATAAAATAATTGATAATTTAAATTTGTCAATTATTAATTCATAAAATAATTTGGAATTTGAATATTTAAATTGATGATTGATAAAATAATTCGACATTTGAATATTAAATTGCTGGTTAATTTAATAATAAGAAATTGGTGAGTAATATTAACAATTGACTTATTCAAAATTTAATTGTAATTAACAATTATGATTACACCGATGTCTGCTTAAATCAAGACTTTTGAAAGTCTCAAGTTGAGATTTTCTGAAGTCTCAAATCGAGACTTCCAAACATCTCAAATTAAGACTTTCGAAAGTCTCAACTTGAGATCTTCCAAAATCTCAAGTTCAGAAGGCTTAAATGGAGACCTCAAAATCTTAAATTGAGACTTTTGCAGCTCTCAACTTAAGAATTTCAGGCTTCAAAGTAAGACGTTTATAAATCTGATTTGATGATCTTTGGAATCTTAAAATAAGATTTTTTTCGGGTGTAAATTCAACAAATTATTGCCATGGTATTCATTATATGCGATGACTTGCAACTTTCTAACAACTATTTCTATTTTGTATCGGACCTTCCACATAAGGTAAAATCATGTCTGAAATTTGGAAAGGATTCAGCCGGTCGACACGCAGGTTCATGTGTCGGTTCAGAAAATTCTCCGAATATCTGTTCTCTTTCAGGGTATTTTTTATGAGAAACATCCCAGTTTCCGTCATCTCTCGACCACAATCCCACGTACGAAATGCCAGTGTTGGAGAAATGGGCCAAGCCTGGCACAAGTCTGGGCTTGCCAAGCCTGGGCGCCCAGGCTTGGACCGAGGTTCGGCCATCCCTGGGGACCAGGGCTTGAGTCTCGGGAGAAGGGCAGGTAACCGAGCCTTGGTTGACAGATCTGGCCCAGCCTTGGCCGGACACTGGCATGCCGGAGCTCGATAACCAAGCCTCAGCCAGCGGTGGCCCGGAGCTTGGTCATTGGGCTCCAGCCGTTGGTGTAACTGTAAGGGTTAAGTCGTAAGGGTGAGATGATGAGAATGGAATCATAGGGGTGGAATCATAAGGGTAAAATCTGAAGAGTAAAATTGTAAGGGTCAAATCGCAATAATGGAAAGGGGCGAAAAAATCATAAGACTGACATTCTGAGGGTTGAATGGTAAGGGTGGAAACTTGAGGGTAAAATATTAAGGGTGTAATCGTAAAAAAATGGTGACATTGTAGGTGTTGAAGTCACATGTTACTCGCTAATTATTACGAAAAGAAGAAGAATCGTCATTCAACAGTAATCCTAATTGTTACAATTATTATTGTAATTAATAATAATAATTATTATTATTCATTATTGAATTAATTTACCGATTAAACTGTAGTTGAATCACTTAATATTTCTATCAACTGAATGATAAAACATTCAAGTCGAAAAAAACCGAGATGGAATTAATATGGAAGATTTGAAGTAGAGGTTTTACGAATTGCGCGGTAGACTAGTGGTTAAGGCGTCGGATTAGTAGTCGTGAGGTCGTGGGTTCGAGCCCACGTTAGGGGGTAATATTTTAAGTTAACAAAATCGGTTTTTCAGCGATGATTGCGTTAGGGTTTGGTAGGTAGGGCACAATCAATACTAAAAATCATCCTAAAAAATGTTAATTATTTTGTTTTTGTTATTATTGATAATTGCCATGAACAGTTTGGCAGCCAGTGCGGCACCAGTCGCATGCCGGTATTGATTTTTTTTCCTCGTTGAACCTATTACGAATGCTGAGGAGTAATATTAAATTACTTGTATTTCAATCACCCATATTATCATATTCATGTAATTAAGTAATGTTTAATTGAGCCTGGCCAACGACTGGCAATCAACGCTGGGCCGAGATGGGCGCCCAGACCTGGCCCGATGTTATCATTCCAGGTTTCAACCAAGTCCGGCGCGGTCCCGGTTGAGGAACGGGTCCCGAAGTTCGGCAGGCCGGCCACCGGGCTTGGGCCAAGCTCGGCCCATTCGTTTTTTCGTACGTGGGATAGCGTGACTGCGCCTTTCTGTTGAATAATTGAATGGTCTGAGTTAAAGTTCAGGTATATGATTGATGTATTTCTATGATGCGGTTATAATCTTGTTTCCTTCATGAGTGAGAAAATCAAGAACACAGGGCTGCCTCTATATGTGTGAGCTGCAACAGGCACTCATGGCTGTTGAATAATTCTACAATCAAGTCAGTCTTGATCTTTCGAAACTATTGTGATAATATCTTTTTCGTATCTTTCGAGAAAACATATACTTGAATGAATAACTCAAACTACATATAGTAGTTGGCAACCCGAATATTTTTCATAAAAACTTCGCTACAAAGAGAAATCGTATGGTGGAACTCATTGACAATATCATTAAACCTATTGAAAAAATCACTACAAATTTTCTACATTCTACATTGAAACATGTCAATGTTCACTTACCACTACCCTTTAAATTACCATAATTAAACCCAACCATTGAGTTAACGAGTAATATTATGATAATTGAAGTCCCTGGCAGGCTTTCTCTGTTTTTCCAGAAAAAAATAAAAATCCGTACTCCCTCAACACACAAAATGTGTGTACCGTCGGCCAT